TCTGTCTCCCAAATGGTAGAATAACTGAAGCCTCGTGCTCACCCCTACCCCAGAGCTTTCTTAGATCTGAACTACCTTTCTCTATCCCTGAGGGGAGGAACGGGTGCTGGGGAAACAATGGTGGGCCCTTTGGTCAGGCACTGTCCCTTCAGTCCCATCTGGCTCCCTGGGTCTGGCTCCTTGAGTTTGGTCTATGGGAAAGCATGCTTTGTAACCCAGCACTGAACAAAGTGTCTGGAAGCATCATCGATAAAATGGCAGTGCATCTACACATTTCCCTCATCGATTTCCCTCCTCCAGCTGCTCAGGCTGCCCAGGTCAGCGCTAACCTGCCATCCCCGGTGGAATAACACCACCAACTCTGGAGAAATTCCCCTTCTCACCCACCTGGTCCCCATCCCCAGGAAACCTTGCCCTGGGAGATCAGTGCAGCCACTTCTCCCTGAGGCCAGCTTTAGGCTTTGAGACCCTCTCTCTGCTTGGGGCTCAGCTCCTAAGACCCCGGCCCTGCCCTGCTGCAGGGGGACAAAGCCATCCTTGAGCTGGAGACCATTATAGCTATCTAGTAGCTTCCAAGTGTCCCCTCTTTTTTACCCCCCCCAACACTTTCTGGGGAATTAAATTGAGAGTCTTAAGACACTGTTGGAAATCTTTCTAATGGTTTCGGTTCTAAAAGAGAAACAAAGGAAGAGAGAGGCTGAGGGTCCTGTCCATGAGCCAGGGTCTCCTCGCCTGACCTTTGTCTCTCACAGCCATAACTCACTCTAGGATATGAACAATCAGCGGAAATACCTTAAAATAAATTCCATCCTCCTGGTGTGGCCTCGAGTCCCATCAGTTAGCTTGCGCAGAACCGCTCCATGAGTGCTGAAAACTGCAGCCGGCTCAGAGAGCGCTCTCCGGAGAAGAAGGAGGAGGAGATGGGTGTGTGGGGGTGGAGGGGGAAAGCTCTGGCTCTGTAGAGAATCCAGAAAACGTAATCACAGGAGAAGCCTGCCTGGGTCTCCGCTCCAAATGCCACAATAATGCGCTGTATTATGTGCTCACGTGGTCATACGTCAACTTAAATCCTTTTATTTGAAATAAGGAATCACTGAAGGGACTAGGTTTCCAAGCAGAACATTTAGCTTTGGGGGAGGGGAGGTGAGGATCTTTGACCAGCACTCTGTAAGAATTTTGTCTAAGCAATAGAATGCTGGAGGCCACCCCCACTCCATGCATGCCATATAAGACGGCTTATCTCTACTTGTATTTCTTTACACACATTCCAAACACAAGGGAATAGCAACAGTATCCATATTCTTACAGTCCACTTAACTTTCCTTAGGGCCTCCCACCCATAGACAAGCTAAATCCAGCACATCCAAGCACTTCAGTCTCCTCTGGCTCACAGGCCAGGGTATCAAAAGGCAAGGGCCAGGGCCAGAACTGGCTGGCCTGGTCAGCAACTCCCTCAGGCCTGCCTTTGTATGGAGTTTGCTAACACCCACACCATATACCACAGCCACTGGAGAATCCAAAAGACCCATAATTACCTGACAAAAGGTTAAGGCATCTTCTCCAAGTTCAGTTGGTTTTATTCAATGGGAGCCCACTAGGAAAGATGTGCTTGGCTATAGAATGTAAGTCAGGGTTTTACAAAATCCGGAGGGACCTAGTGGCCTGGCCAAAGCTGCACTTACATATTTCCTTAGTACATAGCTGAGTGATACATGAAATGAAAGGTTTCTAAAGATGAAAAATGCCAGGGGGAATGATCTAATTATATTTGCTAAAGGAAATTACAAAAAAAAAGGAAATTTACTGGAGTGCCTTAAGTTAACCTACAAGATAAGCTGGGATCCTCTCTACAGGCAGGTCTATTCACCCTTCCCTACAATTCTGAGTCACCCAGCAAACTCTCCCCCCACTCCCTGCCAAGTTTCTGCAGAAACATCAACTGAAGGGACTCCCTTCAGAACTCTCAGGACAGTCTGGAGCAAAGAATCAACTCTGCTCAGAAGGAACTGACCAAAACAGATAAACTGCCCCCACCCTTATTCCACCCCTACTACTGCCTTCTGCTTGGTGGCACTGCCCACTGATTTCAACACTGCACCCTTTCACCAGCTATCTAAAATGCTCCTTTCTTCTGCTCTTAGTTTCTGAACTTTGAGAGTGATATGAGGTTAGAGAAATCCTCATGCCATATTCTTTTGTTCCTTGAGAATGGGTCATCAGCTGGCTATGCCTAAGTATTAGGACTCACCTGTAGCAAGCTAAAGGAAGCTGTAGGAGATTCTTCCCCCAGCAGGGAGCAGAAGGGGCCTGCTGACAAAGTAAATCCCTCACTAAGGAGGGTTTGGTGCATCCTTATCAGGTCTCCGGCATCCGAATCAGAAGGACAATTAAAGAGGAGACCTAACCTCACGGAAGCAAGCCTTGGCCTAAACTGATAGCAGTATTCCAATAAGGTTCTGTTTACGGTATAGTTAATAGAAGGAACTTACTTAGCTACTATCTAGGTCACAAAAATAGAAAATAAAAACCCCAAGTGAAAAACCTGCCTTTCTCAAGTTTGGGGGATGGGGGATGGAATCAAAGGCTAGTTTCCAAAAAGCATTTTTCTGTCTCCCCAAGATAGCTGTCCTCAAATTTTTATTAAACTCTGGTCCTCTTATATCCTCCCTAATCATTTGCACTGAGTTCTCTAGATACTCTAGAAAAGGACCTGGAGGGCAGCACCTGGGGCTCAAAGGAGTAGGGCACCAGCGCCATATGCCAGAGGTGGTGGGTTCAAATCCAGCCCAGCCAAAAACTGCAGAAAAAAAAAAAGGAAGAAAGAAAGAAAAGGACCTGGAGGAATTGCCCAGTTACTGGCAAACTCCCTCCCCAGGAGGGAGTTTCTGGAGAGGTATCAACTCTCCAGAAAGATGGAGAGGGGTCCCCTTCAGAACTCTCAGAATAGTCTTGAGCAAATTGAAACTCCTGAGGTCATAAACCAATGGGAGAGATCCTTGGTACTGCTTCAGAAAAATGCCTTAATGTCAGCAAGGCCCAGAGGCATCTCAGCTCTACTCTGGAGCCCCTACACTGCAGCTAACAGCAGCTAACATCCCAGTTAATATTCTAACTGCTGTTTAACAATTAACATCACCAACCTGACCTGAGCTGGGATGGGATGATTTTGTAGGATGAGAAGGGAAAAATCTGAGAAGGCAAAGGAAATTTAACTTCTGAGGTAAAACAAACAAACAAAAACAATCTAAAACAAAACAAAAAAAATGAATTCCCTAAGAAATCTTGGCCTGGGCAACCCATGGGAAACTAGCAGCTCAGAGTTCTTCTTCACCACTCTGAACCCTGCTTTACAAAGCTATGGGCCATTTAAAAATCCAGCTGCCAGTCCCCGCTTCAATCACTCTTCTGGCCTCCAACCTGGCCAGGGGTGGGACCCATGCTGTGGTCCAGGCCACCAAAGCCAAAATAGGAGAAAACTTGTCTTGGAAGGAGCAGGCAACTAAGAATACAAACTGTTAGTCAATATTTGCAAGGCTGTTGGCAGATTAGGTGTATCTATACTCAAACACTGCAATCTGATTTCTCTATCAAAAATACACTTAACATTTTCATCCTGTTAAGTCAAGTGGGTTGTCTACTCAGCATCAGGTAAGACTTGCTTAGCCCACTGTGTGTGCCTGCATGTGTGTGCATGTGCACACACGTATAGATGATAGATTATTTAACATGAGATATCTCCTGTGGGTACAACTGTGTGCTAATGGGCTCCAAGTTCTCTGGACACATGCGAATGTGTATATTGTGTTATACACATGGCCCCAGACTCCTGCAACTATTTATACATGCAATTGTTCTGATGTTTAAAGAGATGAAAATCATATATACACACTGAGTTGCAAATACCTAAAATGTTCCAACTATATTTGATATAAACAGACACACAGTAGCTGAGAAAGCAATCCAGCTTTACTATTTCTCTGTTTACTTCCTATCGGATAAAATAATAATTGCATCCAGAATACCAAATCAACCTTAGAGCACCACTAACTAGCATATTGCAATTAACAACCTAATATCTATTTAGGAGCAAATATTAGGGAAGACTGAGGCATAAGAAATAGAAAACACAATCTCAAAACATTTTTAAAAAGAAGTAATTCTTGAAAAAACAGCAAACTCATTTGTTAATACCAGCTTCTGAATGCTATTTCAGCAGCCCCTCCCCCAAACAGGCACGTAATTTATGGATCTTTTACAAGGTAATAAACCACAGTAATTACCTCGCTGCATCCCAAACTAAGAGAGCAAATTAAGCCAGAACTTGAAAAGAATTTTATAGAGTTTCCCCTTATTCCAAATAGGAAAAGAAAACACTGAGACATGGAAGACCAGGCTTTTCCCGCAGGAAGAACCGCGCATCAGCAGCCCTGCTGAAGGAGGAACGAAAACCCGCTGCCTGCGAAAGCCTACGGGCTCCAAATACGGCAACTTCTCTGAAGACCAGGAAAGGCCAAAGGACCGGAGAAACTGCAAGTCAGTGAGACAAGTTTTCCTCAACCAAGAGCTGGTACTGGCGACAATTTCCTAGCTCACAGTCTCCGCAGTGGCCTCAGTGGACAAGGAGAGCAGCCCACGCAGCGGCTGCCGCGCGCCCCTGGCCTCTACTTGCTTTTGCCCTGCTGTTCCATGTAGTGGTTTGTTTGGGGCTTGCAGAAAGAAACAAACACACACTCCCACTCCCCACACCCCATCGCTGGCTTGGGGAACCGCTCCTCTTGCCTATGGCTGACTCTGGGGTAGACTCTTTGTCTGCCTGAAGCCCAGCATTCCCGGGTCGTGTTGCTAAAGGGAATCCAACTCCAACCTCCTCTGAAGTTAAATATTGACCAAAAAGAACCTCTCGCAAGCGGTGCAGTTGCCAGGAGCTCTGGAGGGTAAACTCCTCCCAGCTGCCCTGGTGCAAAGGCCCACGGGGTGAAGAGTTTTGGCATAGCGCTTACCTCCAAAGATGTTTAAATCTGAACCAGGAATTGTTTCCAACTCCAGGCGCGCAGGGAATCGCCTTTTCTGGTGTCCGGACGCTCTGCGGACAAACAGCAGAGGGTGAACCGTGGCTGTGAGGGAAGGGAGTTGGAAGACTAGAGTGGAAAGCGCGGCCCTCGCGGGCGCCAAGGTGGCCCCGAGGATGACGCGGACACGGAGGAGTCGCCAGGGCATTCGTCCATGCTCGAAATGTTCCCATCTACAAATGGCCCGAAGATAGTGATTTATTTTTGTAAAATAAATGCATACTCCATCTCTGCACCCACACTCTCTCCTTTTCTTTTTGGGGTGGGGTGGGGGTGGGATGGAGGAGGAAGAGGAAAGGGGAAAGAAAATGGACCAGATGGAGAAAGCTGGGAAGGTGGAAGAGGCTGTGCTTGTGGTTACAGCTCTTCTCTGGAGAGCTCCTCACGCACCCCAACTTGGAGAATATGAATGCTGGCTTTATTTTCTCTTCCTAACAAAGGGAAGCCTTGTTTGAGAGCATTCAATGACAGAGTCTCCTGAAACCTTACTACTAGTGCTCATTTCTTGGCGCCAAATCAGATGCCTTGAGAGGCTTTGCCTTCTGGTACATTGGAGCCATGGGCACTCACTTTGGCCCTCATAAGCTAACGGGACTACCACAGCAGCCACTCTCTCAGAGCAGGCCAACGACCGCTGCTGGAAACTGGAAGGACACAGGCCTTGGACAATACAAGATAAGGGGGTCTGATCCTGTCTAGTCTGCCCAAGCGCCACACACAGACTCCATGCCCTAATTCTGCTGCAGTCTCCTCCCTTACACTATTTGCAACCATCTCTTGCCCTCTAATCAGCGAATGGTCACTGGGCTGTCAGCCAACTTTTCTGGGGTAGGAGACACTGGGGAAGAGCCCAAGTATTGTGCCTTGAGTGGGATCCTAGCTTGGAAACTCTGCAGGGCCCTTTGCTTTCACAGCCCTAGCCCTACTCCCACTACTCCTTCAGTCAAACCCAGAGAACTTCCTCCAAGCCAGCCTGCCCTAAACCAGTCCTCTGCTGTCTGTCATGGGTCCATGCAATCCTGTTGATGGCACCAAGAGGGGCTACCAAATAGCTAAGAAGCCCCTTAGCACATTGAACAAGTGGCCATAAATGAGCAACTGCCCTCTGTCACCACTGAACTACAGCCGCCACACACCTTCAAAATAGGGCTCAGAATCCATGCATCCCTTTCTCTTGTTTAAACCTGCCCTCTGGATCCCCAAAGGGAGTGTCCCCTGGCCTTGGGGCTCTTGGCACGACCCTGAGCCAGACGGGTTCAGCCATCCTGCACTTTGCCACTCAACTTCGCCCCAGAAAGATCCGCTATGCCACCATCCACCGCCACCACCATGATTCTGCGCCACGCTTAGGAATATTATAATTACTATGGTCGTAATTTGTGCTATTTCCTTATTCCCAAGTCTAATATTCGCGGTTGCTGTTTCCCATAAATCGTTCAGACTAATGAGTCACAGGAAGATGCTGCCCAGGTTTCTCACTCTGCAATGGCCGCCGCTGCCGCTGTGGCCTCTCTCCGCGTTTTTGGCGCTCGCTTGCTCCCTCGCTCGCCCGGCGCGAGTGATTTATGAACGCCGGGAAAATTGAACAAAGCCGCGCGCCCGTCCTGTGGTATCTCTGCAGCCTTCCCCAGCGTGAATCAGAACATTACCAACTGTCTGCGCATCCGTCCCACTTCATCACCAAAGCCAAGATGTGACCACAGAAAACCCAAGCCCGAACTCACGTTTTCCCGGACACAGCGCGCTCCCCGGACTCCCAGAAACCCAGCGGAAAAATCCCCAAGACCGGTGAGGGCCGGCTGGCTCCCGTCCTGCCCGCTGAAGGGCTCTCTCCTCTTTGCCTTCCTGAAGGAGTTAAAAGCCTGTGTAGATAAATCTGAGGGTGTGTGTTTTTTTTAAAACCAAATAGGAAGTTGGAGTCTCACTTCTGAGAGATTCATTCCTAGTGAGGCCCTGAAGACTCCAATCCATTCCTGACGATCTGCATTAATTATTTAATGAGTCACGTGACCCCAAAGATTACAATTTCAATATCTCCCTCCTACAGGACTACACCTTTATCAGCTGCAACCAGGATCCTTGTTAGGTTGTTTGTTTTTTTGTTTGTTTTTTTTTGTTCCCCGGGCCTCCAGAGCACTTTCACCCTTACCCTGATTTGGGACAAGTGACTACCATCAAAATACCGGGAAGAGCAAAGCAGCATTAGTTGTTCTGGGATTGTGAGCACTGTGGACAGTGGGGAGCCCACCGCTCTCCGGGACACCCTGACATCCATCCCTTCCTCAGCCTAGTGGTCAGCCCACCAGTCTGCCATAATTGGGGTAGTTTGGTTACAAAACTTCTCCAGGTAGCTTGAAGGCCCATCAAGCAAGAACCCACCCATTTTCCCTGACTGCACACACCTGTGGCCATCCATCCGCGTATGCCTAGATGCATACATCCATTCCCAGCAGAATAGCTTCCACAGAGGAAACATGTCTGTGTACTCACCCCCATCAGGGTGAGGCTAAAGGCTCCTTTCAACCTACACACGTATTAACATAATGAACATGGGGGTGGGAATTATTCAGCTGCCTCAGTTTTCTTATCTGTAAACTGAGAAGCCAAAGTGGGCTCCTGGTCTTTCACTTGGTACACTCTTTCACTCTGGGATTTTCTTTCAGCCCCAGGAATCAATCCCAAAGAAAGTGGGGCTGGCCTGAAAAGGGTGGGGGATAGAGGATACTCCAGGAGTGTGGACCCTTCAGAATAAGAGATGCCAGAGTTTCAAGCCAGAAGTTGCAGCAGAAGGTTTTAAGACAGCCACAGCAGCCTCCCTGAGGCTATCAAGAGACATATGTTCTCTTCCTTTTTCTGTTGTTTCCAGCCCATATTTTTTGGACACACAATGCAAAATTATTCTTGGGCCAGTGTACAATACAGAGGACGGGCAACGGAAGTTGAAGCTGAAAGACTGTGGTCTCCTACGTAGGACTAGGTCTGTGACTAAGGGAGTGCTAAGGACAGCAACCATGTTGCCTGCCCAGAAAACACTCATTCAAATGGGAAACCTCAGGTTTCTGTTTGCTACATTGGTTCTTCGGTGGGTTTTTTAAAAATTATTGTAAATAGTCCCTGATCTGTTTCTATTTTGGAACTGCTAGAGGGAAGGCAACAGGGAGAAGAGCAACAGAGTTTGGAAGCTTCAGGGAACAAGGGTACAGAAGAGAGATGGTGAGATTATGAAACCCATCCCATGGGTTGCTGAGGTGTAGGGTACTGGGATACCCTGTAATAGCTGAGTATGAAGTTAGAGAAGCTGTGGAAAGGGCCTCCCCCCATATATCTAGGTAATCTTCCCATGAGCTCCATCCTGGGTAGTTAGTACTACTATGCCTGTCACAGTTGAATTCCTGCTGTAATAAAACACCGGGTATGTCGTAGATTTCAGCAAAACTAGGAAAGAAAGCCTGCAAAGTGCCATTTTTCTTCAAGGGGGAGAGTGTTAAGTACTTAATTCAAACTGTGACCATTAAAGTGTCTCCTATCCGATTTAGGTTGATTTCAGATGTTGACAAAACTTTTATCTCCCAAGTCATGCACAGCTTGGCTCTGTGACTAAAGCAGATGAGTGTATATTGGAGGGAGGGAGAGAGAAGAGGAAAAAACTGTAAGGGTTATTTCAGTAGGCAAATTATAGAGCTTACAAAATACTGTCTTTAAAGGTCAAGGGTTTGAGGGGCCAGTAGGGTTTGCTTTAGGAAAAAAAAAAAACAATTAATGAGATAGAAAATTTGTCCTCTCGGTGAACTCTTATGGTTGCCCTAGCAAAGGGCAGACAATGCCTGATTTTGAAGCACAAAGTGAGATTTTCTAATCTGTTACAACAAGCTCCCCAAAAGGTCAAATCTGAAACAGGCAAAATACTGTGAAGTAACTACGTGATCATTTGGATTACTTCCAATAATTCTGGTTTTGTAAAACTCATAATTTTGGTTTTGTAAAATTTGTTTATGCCTTAACAACCCATACAGTTTAAACAAAAATGCCATTTTGTTGTGGAATATCAGAAAAACTTTATCTATTCTCTTCCTTTTCTGAATAGACTATAAGAGCAAGTGAAAGAAAGTCATCTTCTTCATTCCCATACAACCTGCCTCCAGCATGAAGCTAATGAATGTCCCCATACCCCACCTTCCCCACCAAGGAGAAACACAAGAATTTACCTTAAATGTTGACAATCTGCCATTTGAGATTTTGCAGCTTGACACTCAATTTCCACCAAGAGTCTAGGCATTTTTTTTAAAGCAGACAGCCAAGATGCTGCATCTTTGCCCGAAACAACATTATTTGCAAGAAGATCCCTCTCTCTTCCACAGACTTTTCCCAGAGAATGCCTTTCAGAATTGCTGTTGAATTACAAAGAAGTATTTATTGTATGAGGTGATTAATGATTCCTTGGAAAATTGCTATTTTCAGCGTGATTTAATTTCGTTTTACAAGTGCGTATAGTGGGAGGAGAGTTAATACGTTTCAGCAGCAACTGAACAGCCTTCAGAAATCCTTGGCATCCGTTCACACCTTATAAAATGCTCTTTATGCCAGGTTTGCCCTGACTGGGGAAGCCATGTGTGTGTTTGTTTGCCCCTCAATTTTCTTGGCCCCTTAGAGACAGTGCCCATCACTTTCCTCTCAACTCTAGTTTCCTCTCACCCTGTCCAGTCACACACAGGGCAGCAGGGTGAAAGAAGTACCAGCACTGACACTGGCTAAAGCTTTATCCATAGATGAAAAAATGTGTTTAAAATTCCTCTGATAATTTCAGAGGTAATTGAGCACCCCCTTCCATCTATGCTAAAATTACTAGAGGACCTAAAAACTGCACCAGCTGACAATTCTAATATTATGAGGCTAGTGCACATTGGTTTTCTCTACCTTGTTGCAGAGTACTCCCTGCAGTGAGCACCATGTCTGAAATGATAAACAAATAGTAGGGTTAAAGAGATTGAGAAGTGGGTTTTGATTTTCAGCCTTTTGGATCTATATATCTGGGATTGAGCAGAAAGATCACAAATAAATTGAAGAAAGTGACCCTAATTCACAATTTGGCTTTCTTCCAGCAGTGAACTCTATCAGGTCTACTTTCCTCGGGATGAATTGGGGGGAGGGGTATCATTATGTTTTTTCTTTCCTCAGAAGAAACTTTGGAGAGTGTACTGGAAAAATTCACTTTATTCTGAACAGTATTCCTTCAAAAAAAGAGAGACAAAAGCAAACAAAAATTCTCAAGATGTGGTTAGTGAAGAGGACCTTAACAACAGCCATAAAGCAAAAAACAATCACAACCCTTTGCACAAACTACTTTTTATCTCCAGGGAAACAGGCAGATTAAGTGTGAAGGTGCAATAAATACCAAAGGGACCATTTCTTTCCAAGTGTGCTCAGAGTTCAGTGTGTAGAACAGCTGCAGAAACTCTTGGGCCTGCAGCACTGCATGGTTTCAGCTTTCATTGCAGGGAAGGACATGTTTCTATGCCTTACAGAGACTTGAAGCCTGAAAGCCTAGCCAAGTTTGGGAAGAAGAGGAACCCTCTCAGCACTCAAGAGCCCTCCTGCTCTTTGGAACTTTTCCACAGTGGGTGAAGCTTGACAAGAGTTTAACTCAAGTTGAACCACACACACACACACTTTCTCTCTCTCTCTCCTTCTCTCTCTCTCTCTCACACACACACAAATTGTGCGAGCAGTCAGAATCCTAGTGAACACAACCCAAGCCAAGAATTTTACATGCAAGGTCAAGCATCTCAATCCAGAGGACTTTTGTTTTCTTAATGAAGAGCTTAGAAAACACACAGATCTGTCTTAGATTTTTAATGTTTTTTAAATGGAGTTTATTCTTAGCATATGGCTTTCTATATAGCCATATCACAATTTGTACAATTCTGTATAGATCTAAATGAACTCCCCTCTCCCCCAAGATTGTGCCCCAGAATAGGACAACAATATCTCTATAACAATATCTTAAATAAATGCATGGAAGGGAAACTAATATGTCACACCTATCATTAAGGTCTACACATTTTGAAAATTAAATAATCTTCGTGAGGCCCACAATGTCTACTCATTGTATTCGGTTCAATACAAGCTTGTATGAGCTGCCTTAATAGGAGAGGAGGATGTAAGGAAGGTGGATAAAGGGTCTGTTTTCTTCTGCTTGCAACAAATATACAAGTACATGTCCCTATTGGCATAGGCTGCCCAGCTGACATTAGTCATCCCATAAGTATTTAAGTATTTGATAGCAAATTGTCCTTCTTAGGTATGCAAACCTGGCAACACTATTGAAGCCAGTAGGTTGTTCCACCAACCAGGATCCTAGACAAATGTCCTTTCCTGGGTGGAAACCAGCACACGCTGTTACCCATACAGTGTCTTGTTTTTGGTTATCCTTTTCACTAAGTTAGGTTTTGTTTTTGGTGTCTATTATGGTCCAGATAGAGAGGGACTGATGAGAAAAGGGGCAGGAAAAGAGAGGAGAAAAGCAGGTAAGGGAAAGAGGCTGGACTAGGTATTCTAGAAGATTATATGGAGGAAGGAATGGGTGTGGAAGTGCCCGGGTGGGGGTGTGGGCTCTGACTTTGTGCTTTCCCTGGCGGGCCAGCAGAGGCCGAGTTGGAGGACCTCATCTTGGTGTTGGGCAGTTTGTGATCTTTCTTCCACTTCATTCTCCGGTTCTGAAACCAGATCTTGACCTGGCGCTCGGACAAGCAGAGTGTGTGGGCGATCTCGATGCGGCGCCGCCGGGTCAGGTATCGGTTAAAGTGGAACTCCTTCTCCAGCTCCAAGACCTGCTGCCGGGTGTAGGCTGTTCGAGAACGCTTAGGCTCCCCTCCGTTATAACTGGGGTTGACTGAACGCCCAGAACCCCGAAGGAGAAGGCCAAGGAGGAGCGAGTGGAAGAGGAAAGGAAGAGGAGAGAGAAGGTGGGGTGGGGAAGAGCAATTGGACATAATCATTATATAATAACCTGACACCAAGTTCACGCAAGATACATAAAACGGCAAAGAAAATGTTTCACAGGCTATTGACAACGGGAAACACCCAAGAGCCATAAAGAATGGTGCTGGGCATTGGGGCTGAAGAAAAGCTTCAAAGACACATGGCCTGAAGCCTCTGCCAGGGCAATTAAATTTATGGGGGCTATAATTACTGCCCTAACAGTTTGGCGTCTCGTAAATCTCCCGATAAAGGGACCCTGGGTACAAAAGGGTTCTCACGTTAGGATCAGGCGGCTGGCTGTCGCGCACATACCTATATCCCACTGACGTCCAGGCCAGATGGGGGCTCACCTCTCGAAGCCCCCTTTCTCGCCCCCTAGCTTCTCCCTCCTGACCCCCGCCCCGACCCTGGAACCCCGGCACGGCCCCAGCCCGCCCTCCCGCGCCACCCTAGCGGCGCCACGTACCGGCGCTGACATGGATCTTCTTCATCCAGGGGTACACCACGGGCTCCTTGCCCTTCAGGCCGGGCAGGCGCTTGTCGGCCAAGAGCAGCGGGCACGCGGGGGCACTGCCCCCTGCCGGGACGCCTGAGGTGGCCGGGGCAGCCTCGCAGCGCCGCGGGAGCGCAGGGGCCGCAGCGCGATGCTGCGAGGGAGGCGGCGGCGGGGGCTGCCGCCCTGGCTGCAGGACATGGTTCGCATGCAGGCCGTGCGCGGGGCCCTTGGCGTGCGCTGGGGGCTGCTCAGGCTGCGCTGGCCGCCCAGGGCTGGCTCCGCCACGGTAGCCATAGGGGTAGGCGGTATCCGCGACACTGTGCGCGGGATAGAGCGCGGCTGCGGGATAGGCGGGCTCGCGGGAGGCCCGCGGCGCGTAGTAGGTGGCGGGGGGCTCGTGGCTACCGCCAGCGTGAGGGAGCTGGGGCTGCTGCGGCGGCAGGTGCTGGGTCGCGGGTGCCGGGGACTGCTGGTAGCCTGGGCCCCCGCCCGGGCCGCCGTCTCTGCCGCCCGGGCCGCTGTGCTGCGCGTACTCTTCGAAGGGAGGGAACTTGGGTTCGATGTAGTTGGAGTTTATCAAAAACGAGCTCATGGTCATTAATTTGTGAAGTGCAAAAATACTAATTTTTCTCGCGTTGTCGTTTTTTCTGGGCTCGCTGAGGCCCCTCCCCCTCTTGCCTCGCTTCCCATCCCCCTTTCCTCTGCGCCCTTCCCTTCCCCCAGCTGTCAAGTGCCCACCCCTCCCCCTCCCGCCGACGCCGCCACCAAAGTTCGCGCCGCTCCTCCCCCGCCCATGCGCGTTCCAGCTCAGCCCCGCGCGCGCCCCGCCCCGTGCCCCACGTGCAATGCCCCCACCAATTGGCGCGCCGCGCGCGCGGACCCGGATCAGGAAACCCGGGGGTGCTTGATGGATTCCTCTGTCTGGATGCTGGGTGGAGGAGGGAGCAGGAGCTTTGGGCCCCAGCCCCCCAACTTTGATTCCAGCTGGAAATTCGGGCGCTGCCAAACTGTGGGACCTCTCAGGCCCTACTCCTGGCCTAGGCCTCAGGGCAGCCAGGCAACCGCTATTCAGAGCTGACTTGGGGTCCAGACCAATCAGGCTTTGGGTTTTCCAGAGTTCGGAGTCAGCCGAGGAGACGGGTGGGGTGGGTTGGAGGGGTCGGGGTAGGGGAGGGAAGAGCGTAGGGACCAAGGGGCATCCCGGTTTTTATCTAGGCCGTGGAATGGCCAATAGACCGGCCGCTGAATCCTTTTCCCACACCCTGCTTCTGCATGCCGGAGAGCCAGTGCTTTGACATGCTGGGCAGGAGCCGCAAAGGATGGATGGGTGGGCAGTGTAGAGAAGTTGACCCAACAATGTATAAGTGAGGCCGTTTTAGTATATCCGGATAAACACGGGTTATTTTTTTCCTTCTTTTGGGCAGAATATGTTTTGCTTTTTTTCCCTAAGAAAATTTAACACTTCCTAATAGCGTCTAATCTGATGGAGGTATCGATATGAGAGCTAAATATGCCCGCATTTACCGGGTGTGATTGTGGGAGAGAAGATGGCCCAGGCATGGGAATGAATAGAAAGGACGCCTCCACAAAACGGAACTTTCAAACCAATAACTTCCTATTTCAGAACAATCCCCAAAGAAAAATAAGCCAAGGACAGAAAAAAGACCTTGCCTGCTGGGGTCTGATCGCTGAAGGGTTTTTCCAGATAAGAATTTTATGTTTTCTTTTTTGGATGCTGCTTTCTTAGGCTATCAAGAGGCTAGAGTTATATTTATAGGGCAGTCTATAATTTCTGAATTGCTGAAAATTAGCATATTAACGATATCAGTAGCTCCGGAAAGGAGGGAGAGGGGACTGTTACCTT